TATGTATACAGGATTTTTTTTTTTTTTTTTTTTCTTTGTTCTGAGGTCAACAAGTTTATAGTAATGATATTAGTGTTAAAAAAAAAAGGGTAACAAACATAGAATTATAATTTTTTTAGTTACCAGATGATTGCATTTGTTTCAATTTAAATGAGAATATGACTCTTAACATGATAAAACGGAAAAATAGGTTTCATGTAGTTGACCCCACGTAGAGGGATAAAAACTTGATGTTGATGTTGATGTTGGTGGTGGTGGTGGTGGTGGTGGTGGCGTCGTACATTTATACCCTCTTCGGTATAGGGAGTATCCAATAAAACCATGGATGGACCTAGGGACTAATTTATACTAGTGTTGAGAATAAATGTGAATGAAGACTAAACACCCAAAAAATTTTGGAAGGAGAATAAATAATTTTTGTCTTGCGAAATGGAATAGAGAAGGGTGTGAACAGGCATTTGAAAAGCATCCTTGACGATCTTATTTTAATGAGATGTGTAGCTATTAGAGCAATCTCTCCCCAAAGATACTTAGGAACATTTGTATAGAACATCAATGATCTACTCTATCCACTTTGAAGTAGCATCTTTTTTTTTTCAACAACTCCATCACATTAAGAGGTGTGAAACTGGATCATTTGTGGATAATCCTTTGATGTAGAAGATAATTTCCTACAATAAACTCGATGTATATTTAGCATTATCAATTTTTAGGAATTGAATTTTGAAATGAAACTTGATCATGGTATCAAAATGTTCAAAAATTTGACTCACTTCATGTTTTTCTTTCATTACGAAACCCAATTGTGATAAGTATAATCGTCGATAAAGAAAATAAGCTGTCAAGCTCTAGCAATATTATTGACTCTATATAATCCCCATACATTATTTTGGATTAAAATAAAAGCTTGGGAAGATTTGTAGTTTTGATTAGGATAGGAACTACAAGTGTATTTCACCAAATGATTCATTTCAAACTTAAAAGTCCTTTGATTTAAGAAAAGAATTAATTCTTTTAAAGTAAGTAAAATTTGGGTGTCCAAGGTGATAGTGTCAAAGCTAGACATAACTACCATTACTTGAGAGTGCTTGGAATTTCAAGTTAGGGTTTAAATGGATGCACAACTCATTACTTGATCCCGTGTCTTACTTAAAAAAATTATTATTTAAAGAAGTCTTAAGCATATCTCTACAAATTCAATCATCCTCTCAAAGTTAGGGGTGTCAATATTTGACACGACCCGAAAACCCGACCCGAAAATTCCGGGTTCGGGTTCAACAATTCATCCCGTTTCAAAATTAGGTAGTGTTCGAGTTGACCCTTTGACCCGAAATTGACATATTTTTTACCCGAAAACCCGTTTTTTACCCAATAATCCGAGATTGACCCATTTTTTGACCCGAAAAGCGAAGATTTACCCATTTTTTGACCCGAAAACTAGCAATTTTTTGTTGGCACCGGGTCATTCGGGTCGTGTCGGGTTGACTTAGACCCGAAGCGGATCGGTTCGGGTCCGAAAAACCGACCAGTTTGCAAAGACAGCTCGGGTTCGAGTTGACTCGAATAGTGTCGGGTCAATTTCGGGTTCAACTAGAACCCAACCCATGACCTGAAATTGACACCCCTACTCAAAGTTCAAGTCACAAAAATAATAAAGTTAGATGAAAATCAACAACATTTTTTTATCTCAAGTGGTTTGTTGATTCCTAGTAAGTTGCAATTTAGATCATGCTCTAGAAGCACAAAGTCAAGTGCCAAACTTTTATAGAGAATGACAAAATATATTCTAACCACTATTGATAGACACTCATCTCTAGTACGAACATTATAATTTTCCTAGCGTATACTCTAACGGTGGAAAATATTTTTGTCTTATCATATGAAATGACACTGTCAAGCCTAACTATCTATGTAGTAATATCCATCTCAGCAATGAAGACATCTAAAATTTTACATTTTTAAGCTTATTATGTTGATGCCCTAGAATATGCTTTTACTAAGAGAATTGTTGATTTTCTTAGATTTGTTGTCCAAATGGATGAAGAAAGAAAGAGAAATTTATTGTGAATTATGTGTTGTTAGCACTGTTTTGAAAACCGGACCGGACCGGCCGGTTCAACCGTGAACTGGTCCGGTGGCCGGTCCGATCCAGCTTCAAAACCGGCTCTGCATAGAACCGGATCAAACCAGATTGAACCGGCGATTCAACCGGTGAACCGTTGAACCGGTCCAAGTTGGAAAGAACCGGCCGGTTTATTAAAAAATATTTTTTTGTTTTAAATATAATTTTAAATATATAAAAAAATTTTAAACTTTTTAAAATATTTTTATTAAATATAATGATTAATTTCACCATAATACATGCAAGATATCTTAAATATCTCACATAATTT